GCTTCTACAGCACCCCCACCTGGAACCACGGATTTTGACTCCAAAACTCTCTTCACTACACAAAGAGCATCATGTAAAGAGCGCTCCATTTCATCACACATGAAATCATTTGCCCCACGTAAGATAATTGATGCAGACGTACGAGCTTTGGTGCTATTAAAAACAAACAAAAAAAATCCTTTAAATGATATTTTTATAAAACAAATGTACATAGTAATTGATTGCAAGTGCCCTTGATTAAATTTGGATTACACACAGCTGGGTGCGGTGGATCATGCCTTTAATCCTAGCACTCTGGGAGGCCAAGGCAGAGGAGGATCGCTCAAGGTCAGGAGTTCAAAACCAGCCTGAGCAAGAGCGAGACCCCGTCTCTACTAAAAATAGAAAATTGGCCAACTAAAAAAAAATATAGAAAAAATTAGCTGGGCATGGTGGCACATGCCTGTAGTCCCAGCTACTAGGGAGGCTGAGGCAAGAGGATCACTTGAGCCCAGGAGTTTCAGGTTGCCGTTAGCCAGGCCAACACCCTGGCACTCTAGCCTGGGCAACAGAGACTCTGTCTCCAAAAAAAAGGCTTACATAGGACACTGAGACTGCACCAAAAACAATGTCTAGTCCATGTACAAGAGATGAAAATGGTTACTTCACCTCAATTTATGATGGACCAGTATTATTTTATCCCATGCGTATAACTGCCCATATCATTGTAAGACTATGGCAGCAAATAAATGGGAAGAAAATCTATTTTTACTAATACAAAAAAATCTGTATAGCTTTACAATTTACAAAGTAGCTCTTACTTTTTGATTAAGATCAGTTCATCATCACAAATTCTCTCCTGTACCACCTCTTCTGCTTGTCCCAACATTGCAGCTTCAAAAGTTTCTTCACCTTCCAAATTGGCCAGGGTTGACAGAATAGTTGCTATTAAGAGTTAAAAAGGATCTATAAATACTGTTCTTTCATGATAGTTTTAATATCCTTAGATTCAGAAACTTTTATGACAAAAATGATACATTACAAGTTTAAGGTTTGGCTAGGCATCAGACAAGCAACTGTCCTTTTATCTTAAGATGGAGCTATGTCATTTTTGAGTTAAATGAAGCTCATGGCTTTGTAGCACAAAGCATCAGGGCAGGGGTCCTCAAACTGTGGAGGACATTTATCCAGCCGGCTGGGTGTTTTTGTCGCCGCTGCCTGTCCTGGTTAGCAGCCGACTCGTCCTGGGCCCACAGTGCGCATGTGTGGAATGTGCACCACACTCTCCAACGGCCCTCCAACGGTCTGAGGGACAGTGAACTGGCCCCCTGTTTAAAAAGTTTGAGGACCCCTGCATTAGGGAGTATGAAAGTTTTTGAAGCTGCTTGGTGTCAATAATACAATGTAAAAGGACCTTTGGCAAAGTCACGTAATAGTATCACAAGAATTATGTGAGAGCGGGTAGAAGACATACCTCCAGAAGCTTTAGCAATGCGTTTAAGGTCCCTTTTTAAAACTCTTCGAACTGCCATAGCACCAGCCTCCACAAAATACTTCAGACACATATCATCAATTCCACCAGTGGTTAGAATAACATTGGCACCAGTTGCCAGGATCTTCTGAATTCTTTCCTTGGTGATATCTGATTCTCTGTAAAGTATTTTAGTAACCCAAAGTTACTATTTTCTTTTATAATACACCCATAAATTCTATTAAATATTTATCACAAGATAACCATAGATTAAATTATATTAACCCTTCTTTCCTATGACCAGAATTTAAATTAGTCCAATTTATGGAAAAGTTCAAGGAATTAAAACTACTTAGGGCTGGGTACAGTGGCTCACTCAGATATAATCCTAGCACTCTCAGAGGCCGAGGCAGGAGGATCACTTGAAGTCAGGAGTTCAAGACCAGCTTGAGCAAGAGTGAGACTCTCATCTCTATTAAAATAGAAAAAGCCAGATGTGCTGGTGTGCATCTATATTCTGGTTACTTGGGAGGCTGAGGCAGGAGGACTGCTTGAGCCCATGAGTTTGAGGTTGCTGTGAGCTAGGCTGACACCACAGCACTCACTCTAGCCTGGGCAACAAAGTGAGCCTCTTGTTTCAAAAAAAAAAAAAAAAAGAGTCTAGATGGATAAGAAGCTTAATTATTTTTAAGCAAGACCAATATCGGCAAATCTTTGTTTTCAAAAGGATCCCCTCAGATCAATAGGGAAACTGCACTGGAAAGATGAATAGCTGAAGGCAAGGAGATGGCTTGGGTGGATGGTAAATACAGCCAGTGACTACTTGAGTCAAATAAATACCAGCATGTTGTGGGCAGCATGAGAAATCAAGGTTAAATTTGGGAAAAGATTAAGCACAAAGCCTCTGTTGCTTATTCAGGTGAAGCTGCCAGAAAGTAGTCTCTTACAGTATGAAAACCCCAACAAACTATGGGAAAGATATATAGATTTGATTATACAATCAAATTATGTAATTTGATTATATAATCAAGGCCATGTGAGTAAATAAGATCATTCAAAGGATTTTTAAAGTAAAATGAATTAAAGATCATACTCAAACTCCTTAGAGATTAAGAGGGTCCCTGTTAATCACTTTAGTACAGCTTAGTGCCACACACTGTACTAAAAACTGGGGCTACAAAGCCAACGAAATCATTGCCTCTACCTTTAGCGTTCACAAACTGGCTGCACAAACATAATAGTAGAAACTGGTAAGTCCCATGAAAACAACATGTAAGGAGTCACAACAGAATATAATTTAGATTGAGGAACAAAGGAAAGCTCCTGTGAGAGCTGAGGTGCTTCTCCAATAGCCTGGGCAAGAAAATAGAAAGTGAATTTAATTTGTAGGTAAGGAGCAGAAAAAAAATGGTCTTGGTGAGAGATTAGAATGGGAAAGGTATTAGGCAAGAGAGGAAATTACCTAGTTTTTCTGCCTGAATGAAGGGGTCCTTATCATTATGGCCAAAAGCAGATTTGGGGTATCGTCATGATTCAGTTTTGGACATACTGACTTTGACAAGATGCTTAAGCAACATTCAGTTAGACAGATGTATGCCTCCCTAAAAAGCACTTCAAGAATGAAGTAAATAAAGGCTTGCTATGGCCGGGCGTGGTGGCTCACGCCTGTAATCCTAGCACTTTGGGAGGCTGAGGCGGGCGGATTGCTCAAGGTCAGGAGTTCGAAACCAGCCTGAGCGAGACCCTGTCTCTACCAAAAATAGAAATAAATTAATTGACCAACTAAAAATATATATACAAAAAATTAGCCGGGCATGGTGGCGCATGCCTGTAGTCCCAGCTACTCGGGAGGCTGAGGCAGTAGGATCGCTGAGCCCCGGAGATTGAGGTTGCTGTGAGCCAGGCTGACACCACAGCACTCACTCTACCCTGGGCAACATAGTGAGACTGTCTCCAAAAAAAAGGCTTGCTATGAAAAGGGAGGCTAAAATGTCTAATGAATTTCACACTAATGGTCACTAGTGACTTTAACAAGCAGTCCTCCAGTGGAGAACAGGGCTGAAAAGGTGATGATAAGAAAAGCACCCAGAAAACAGTTCTGTGTAAATCACTGTTGTGCCATCTGGCTATAGAGATGTGGAAGGACAGGGAGTAAGTGGAGCAGGATGTGTGAAGAGGCTTTCATTTAAGGGCAGGAGAATTATAAGTGAAATCCAGGAAAGAAGGAAGGTAAGAGTAGATAGAACTATTTGAAGATGCAAACGAGAAAAACAAATCAATGAAGCAAGTCTCTAAGGCAGAAGGCAACATACTGTGTGACACTTATTATAGAGAGACTGGCTTTTGATAGAAGAAAGGAGATTTTGTTACCTGGAAGAAAGAGAGACTCTTGGCAAAGATTTCTTGTAGGTTTGATTGAACTACTGTTTAAAACTATTTACTGTTTCAAGCAACTGTTAAAAATAATATTTGATATGGTTCAAGCACAGGTAAACAGTCAAAATCCTTTAGCAGTAGTCAAAGTATCTTGAGGACTAGCTCTTCCAGCATGTCACTCAGTAGTACCACCACCTGCAGCCCCTAGTACCTTGCATACAGTGGGCACAGTCAATACTATACTGCTGAGTTCTGCACTACTTCTTGGAGAAAATTAGATTTCTGGCTTTTATATCATATCAACAACAGACTCATAAACCCAAAATTCAATAAAAATTTAGGCCAATTTTCATTTAACCTTTATCACCTTCAATCTGTCTTTTAACACCATCATGCTAGTTTCTCTGAAAGTTGATGTAAAATAGTTTGACTTGGCTAAAAATTGTTAATTTTTAAAGTCCTCAATGCCACTCACACTTAAAACTCCAGTTCCATCAACATTATATTCTGCTACGGAGTAGCTCTGATAACTTGCTGTTATCTATAAGATATTAGCATGCATTCTTTTTACTGTTACCTGGTCCAACAGAAAGGTAA